AGCAGGAAGTCAGGGAGACCCTGAGATGGATTGAAACCCCGTAACAACACCCTCCTACCCCCCTACCTCAGTCTGTAAATTATTTTAAGTTATAAAGGACTGCATGGTATATTTATAGTTTATACAGTACAGAAAGAACCTCATTATTTATTAAACTCTTTTGGAAACCTTTTGTGTTTTGCTATTCATTTATTGGCAGAACCCTCCAAAAGATGTTCACTTTCCTCTCATTCAGCCCTACAACTCTGAAACATTCACAAGGCCATTGAACAGTCTTTCCTTGCCATTCTACCAAAAGAAAACCTTTTTCACACATTTTTCGCACATATTCCTCTCTTCCACAAGAAAAGACTTTTCCTCACAAAACCTGCCAGTTTATTGTAAAAATCTTGTAGGTTTATTTTAAATTGAAATTTTCAGTCCAACTACCAAGAGACCGAAAAAGACCTTTCAAAACTTGCCTCCAGTTTACTAATTACCTATAAAGATATTAATCTTATATAATGAATCACCTTAGTGAACTCCTGGTAGAAATACCAGTTCTTCATGTTGCTAGATAAATTTCCAAGACAGACCTTTAGTGGATTATTTTAAATTGACAAATTATTTTCACCGCAAAAATAATCCATTCTGAATTATTTTGGAACATTTGCGTTCACAAGAGTAGAATCTAGATGTAGGTATTTTTGCATTAAAATTATATTTTACAGCTCATTATTTATGAGCTATATTAGAGTGATGGGGCTGTAAATGTCAATATACATATATAGATAAAAAAGTTCATGTGGCTTATAATTAAAATTTGAAAATTCTTTCAGGCTAGTACTTTGGCAATGGGGACTTGACATAGGAGCAAGTCTTTTCATGCATCATAGAAGAAAATTAAAAAAATAAAACCCAACAAAAATCACTGAGGCTGCGTTTTAGCAAGGAGCCCCAAAATAACCCTATGCTCATAACTTCTCTGCTTTGGGGAATGTTGGTCTCGAGAAGTACATGGTGGAGCCTGAGGCCTGTGATGGGTGTTCCAGTCATTGCACACTGAATAGAACTTCTGTTTTTTTCATTGTTTCCTTTGGAAAAGCAGCTGTTATCCATTGCAGAAACCGTTTCAAAACAAATACCAGTAAGGTTTCTCAACTTGGTTTCTTCCAAATTCTAGAGGGCACACTTTCACACTTGCCTTTCCTCACGCACAGTTACTTCTTTAATGAAAAAAGCAGACCTGACATATGCTTCCTCCACGTAAACACCAAATAGGGCAGATCTCCAGAGAAGATGTGTTGTGGTAAAAGGGCACCAGTTGAAATAACCAAATCTAGGCAAGACATGCTTTCTGGTGTGACAGTGCCAGTCTGTGTGAAGTGGAAGGCACTAAGACAGAGACCATTCCTGGCAATCACTGGTATGCCACTTTTCAGCCCCCTCTAGTAGGTGGTTATGGTGTGGGACAGCAACATTCCAGGGAGAATGCTTTCTTCTCTCCAGAACAACATATTTGCAATATTTGCATGAATAGTCAGTTATCTGAAAGGCCACGGAGAGGGCAGGCCCCTGACTGTCCTGTGTCCTCCAAATAATGACAACTTGTTCTGGCACAGGGGGAGGCAGTGAAGACTGAGGAATACTCACAGCACAACCCTGTAGGCATCAGATGCTCTGACTCCGTGGCAGAATGCAACAGCAGTGGCAGCCACCTGCCAGTCGCCACAGGAGAGACCGGGGGAGCTCAGTGAAATGCACAGTACGCTGAAGCGAAGAAAAATGCGGCATTGGGGCAGAGTCCTGTCTGTGCTCTTTGGTGGCCTTAAGCAACAGACAAAAGTAATGAATCTGCTTCAGAAGTGCTCTTAACTATACATGACACAACGCAACTAGGAAAAAATGAAGCTGCTACTCATCCAGGACTTCCAGGTTTATGGAGACTGCCATTATTTTATCACTGACATAACGAAACTGCGATTGAAAGTGTCTCATGAATGCATTTGGTAACTCCAAACGTGTAAGACTTGGCAGTTCTTCAGCCAGCCGTGAAACTGACGACTTTCTTCATAAAACAGTCTTGGGAGCTGACATTCCTTCCACAGGCAGCCCACTTAGGAGTTCCTCTGACTATACCATAAAGCACTTTCTTGCCAAGATCAATGTACTACTGCCTGTAACACCCAATCTGAGGGACAAACGGCTGTCAGTAAAAGCTCTATGAACTACTGCTATAAATCTGGACCTCGACTAAAATGTCTATTAATAACCATTTAGCTATTCATTATTTAGTCTTGCAGATATTGATGTATTTATTCCACATTTATTCCTTCGGCTGATTTTTATTTTGTGTTCCCAAGACTGAAACTAGTCTACTGGTTCATGCTTCATTATATTACTGACATTTCTTGCCTGTTCATAACAAAGATCTCAAAAGGGAGGGTGGAAGAGTGAAAAGGACACTTCGATGCACTCACACTTGATCTTGATCCCACTGTTAATTGCAGAATCTGGAATTCCAGACTTCAAGCTACACACCCAGGCCTGTAACCTAAATTCTAAGGGTGTGTATCATTTCTCTCCCTGCACATATGTTATTGTTATGCCTGTGCGACATGCTGATGTGACCAATAATCTACCAAGAAGTGGTGAAGTATTTCAAGAAATTAATTTAATAAGAATGTGAGGGTTTATGATTATAAAGTAAGAAAAGCCTGGAAAAGTGCATTCTTAGAAAGAGAATTATTACCATATTTAAATTTTTGTATTAACTGTGCGCTTAGATGGCAAGATAAAGCTTCACCTCTGACCACTGCTACACAAACGCAATCTGTGAGAATCCCCCTGCAGCACTCAAACTTCATTCCACTTACAGATGTTTGTGCCATGTTTAAAGACTAGGACTTAAAACAACAGTAGTCCCAGCCATTCTTGCAGTAACTGCCATCATGCTCAAGCACAGAGATTCACGCCATCTAAAGAGGTTAGTATCATACAATAAGGATACCCTGAACGGCCGGAAATTAAGTGCAGGACTGACTGCCTGGAGGTATAAGGAATTGTCATCTCTGGACATGCCAGAGAACAGATGAGACAAAGATCTGCCAGAAATGCATCTGCCTTGAGTAAGATGCAAGGACTACACAACTTTCAGTGACATCTGCCATAATTTACGTGCTTTCAGACTCTTTTTGTTGAAGTCATGCTCATAGTTGTCACCCATCTACAGAAAGGCTGAGAAAGAAATTTTGAACATTTGTGGTTACACATACGAACCCTGTTTAAACATGGTGCCATACGTTTGGAATTTCAATACATGGATGGAGGAGTACGAAACTCATGCTGTAATTGCTGTGTAGAAACTCACAAATGCTACTGGTCTACAGCCCAGCAGGCTGGGTTAACAGAATCAGAAACAGAACAAAATCTGGGACAGCATTTTTGATACCATTGTTGATACTCTGGAGGCTTAGCCTTCCAAACCATAGTGCAGCCAACAACAAGACATCTTTCATAAAGACCTTCTGATGATTCTAATAAGAAGTATCTCTTAGCATCCTACATCAGAGACAGGTGAGCTGCCATGGAAAATTCCTCTACACAAATACATTGTGAGGCGATCTTAAAAGCCAGTGTTTCCCACATCACACTCGCCACTTGGTCTCAGAATGCAATGCCTCCAGGAGGTGAATCAGTGCGTGCATTTGTCACTGATTATCCTGACTGCTCTCTGCTTCCTTGGGCAACAACTGGTATCTTAAAAGCAAAGGGCTACATTAAGATTTAATTAGAAAACTAACTCAATGCCAAGCTGTTGTTAATTTTTTTCCCCACAGATAAAATCCAGCTAGAGATGTCTGAGATACCATCTCAGTTGCAGTGCCTTGATCTTTTACATCATTAGGTTATAGTAGATTGGTGTACACAGTGCTTTCTGGGTAGAGTACAGAAAAGGCAACAAAACCACTTGTCTTCAGGTGGTCTTGGACGGGTGTACGCTTTGCTGGGTTAAAAACTGGCTGGCTTGCCGGGCTGAAAGAGTTGTGGTGAATGGAGTTCAATCCAGTTGGTGGCTTGTCACAAGTGGTGTTCCCCAGGGCTCAGTATTGGGGCTGGCTCTCTTTAATATCTTTATCAATGACCTGGATGAGGGGATTGAGGGCACCCTCAGTAAGGTAGCAGATGACACGAAGTTGGACAGGAGTGTTGATCTGCTGGAGGGTAGGAAGGCTCTACAGAGGTATCTGGACAGGCTGGATCCGTGGGCCGAGGCCAATGGTGTGAGGTTCAACAAGGCCAAGTGCCAGGTCCTACCCGTGGGTCACACCAACCCCATGGATGCTACAGGCTTGGGGCAGAGTGCCTGGAAAGCTGCCCAGCGGAGAAGGCCCTGGGGGTGTTGGTGGACAGCCAGCTGAATAGGAGCCAGCAGTGTGCCCAGGTAGCCGAGAAGGCCAATAGCATCCTGGCCTGTATCAGGTGGAGTGTGGTGAGCAGGACTGGGACAGTGATTGTCCCCCTGTATTCGGCACTGGTGAGGCCCCACCTCGAGTACTGTGTTCAGTTTTGGGCCCCTCACTACAAGAAGGACATTGAGGGGTTGGAGTGTGTCCAGAGAAGGGCAACGAAGCTGGCGAGGGGTCTAAAGAACAAGTCTTTTGAAGAGTGGCCAAGGGAACTGGGGTTGTTTAGCCTGGAGAACAGGAGGCGGAGGGCAGACATTACCGCTCTACAACTACCTGAAAGGAGGCTGTAGCGAGGTGGGGGTTGGTCTTTTCTCCCAAGTAGCAAGCCATAGGACAAGAGGAAATGGCCTCAAGTTGCACCAGGGAAGGTTTAGTTGGATATTAGGAAAAATTTCTTCATCCAAAGGGTTGTCAAGCATTGGAACAGGCTGCCCAGGGAAGTGGTTCAGTCACCATCCCCAGAGGTATTTATAAGATGTGTAGATGTGATGCTTCGGGAGATGGTATAGTGGTGGACTTGGCACTGCTAG